CTGGCTTGTACATCGGCTGGCCAGCGCAAGTCATTGTATAGGCCGCATACGCACTCATTGCGCCACTACAATTCTGAATGGAAGTCGAGTGCGGGGATGCATCCCTCAGACGGGATTGATCAACGCCAAATACTTTATCCTTTTATCCTTTATGTAGATGAAAAGGGTGATTAAGATGAAAAGGGTGATTAACTTCGGCCGTTTTCAAATCACTTGAAATTCGTTATTCTAGAGGAAGCGATCATCAAAGAGAACATTGTAATACACAGCCGTGTCCAGTCACTAAGGTCGTTGGAAGTTGCAATGGACGGATTCTGCTTCCATGCTATCTGGTGGATAGGATGACATTCGGTGAACAAGCACTAAGTAAGTTGTCAGCCACTATGAGAACAAGTTTGCATCCGAAAGCTGTCATCAAAAATGAACAGTTTAATCTCATCTATTTTTGGTTTCGTCCTGTCGTAACTGTGAATATTCTTGACCTGCTTCGACCGCGACCTTCATTTTTCTGATAACTTCTGTGGCTTTTTTCTTTCCTGTATACTGCAAAGTATCTATCGCTGGCGTGATTCCTTCCTTACGAGACATGAAGTAATCAACGCTTCTGTAGCTACTTCGCCTCCTGCCGTCTTCAATAACCGTAACCTTTACCGTAAATCACCAAGTTTCACAAACAACTTTTTCTTATTCGAATAAGAGGTTAAAAAAGCCAGCGGGATTCCTTGCAAGATGCTACTGCATTAGAGAGAATCCGCTGCCCGAATGTAGCCCTAGTATAGGCACCTATAAATATCAACCAATTTATTATGATTAAGATTTTGACTATAATTTTATATCGTTCGATTACAGGTTCTGGTGATAATCCACGTCGAACAGCTCGCAATGTCAAAGAAAGCGTGGATTTCTCTGGAAAAAATGCTTTGTCGCTGAAGTCATCATCCGAAATGTCGTCATCACGGTTTGGCATCTGTGAGAAGTGAGTTCAATCTTCTGGCAAACTTCATAATTTCCAAGACAAAGTATAAACGCCTGACCCATTCTCGCTGCAGATGACTAAACAAGACTCCACTTCAGCTGAACTCTATTGCGAGTTCGTTCTTCTCCTTTTTCTTGTTCTTCTTCTTTTCTATAGAGGCTCCTCCTTTACATTGCTCCTTATCAACATATATCACTTACTATCACTTTCTGCCAGTTCTCTCCTTCGATTTCATCGCCGCCCACAAATCACACAACAATGTTAGTGCTCCATAATTAATAATGAAACTACGGATCCAAAACTCCAGAGTCCCTTTTCTTCTAACTCTTGCTATCAATCTTTATCACTTGTTATCGTTCTCTATCATTCTGATGATGCTTGTTAGGTGAAAAAACACAGCACAGTAGCAAAACAATTGGCGGTTTTTCGTTAAGAAGACATCTTCAATAAAAGCATTCCTACCATGGCTTCGTCGTTTAATCTTTTGTGAGAGTGAAGGTATAGGATCTAATGAGAACGTCTTTCAGGAAATTCAAATATGAGTGCCCAACTTCTCTTCTTACAATTCACCTAGGTTGGAAAGGTGATAAACTCAAACGAGGCGATCCTCCTCCTTCACCTTCTTCAAACGAAAATTCTGCAGAATGTTGCGCTGGATACTACCTTAGTAACGGTAACTGCGTCCCTCAGTAATTATAAAACTCTTCGTTTTTTCTCAGAACGATTTTCACGTTGATGTTACGCGTTGTCGATTCTTTCGGAACTTTCATGCAGTCTTGATGTTAATATTGTCGAATTCGATCGTAATGTTGTTTTACTCAAACTTGATCTGTGTTTTTTCGTATTGAAGGCAGAGTTTGTGAGATCGCGGTCGAGTTAGTAACCTGAAGCTGATTTTATAGGGAGGCAATGGGCAAATTCGGCAAGGGACGCTTGAAACTCTCGAAAGCACGATCGACCAGCTTTCAGACTAACACTGGCTCACCTTGGCAAAGAAACGAGCGTTCTCTCTATTGAAGTTTTGGGATTCCTGGGATTCATGGGAGCTTCATCCGGAACGGTCAATTTTCTAGGTAAGAGACTGAAGGGGCAGAATTCAGCAGCAATTCTCCATCTTTTAAAATTTATGATCCACGGGGAGGATAGGAATCTAAAAAAAGCGCAGTTATTCACCTACCAGGGTCTTTCGGCTCAGTTTCCTAAACTTCATCAAGAACTCAACTTTATTGCTCATAAATTACTACGTTTCCGACTGTCACCTCACCTCTGCCAAACATTTTGTGCTAACGAACTACTATTATTTCCTCATGCCTCGTGCAGATCTTAATGAAGTTGTGCAATAAACGACTCGTTGGAATGAACTTTTGTGAAGTGTACTTCTTGTAAAAAATACTCCTGGGTAACGATTCCAACGAGGACTGAGCCCAGCTGACCTGGTCCCACTATCGGTTGTGGATGGTTTCAAGGATCCACGAAGTGGCGGTGAGTGCCCCTTCTCTAGGTTACGTGGTACCTCGGGGGTCTCGAACTTCCGCAAGGTTGTAGAGACCTTCGATCTAATATGAACGAATTGTTTTTGATCCATTGTCAGGCTCTGAGGAAGGCTATATCGCCGAAACGTCAGCTAACAAATTTTTATAAGAACTTCGTAAGAATTTAAAGTAAAACAACATCGAGTTTCAACCACGCCGAGGGTTATGGAAGCCCAAACGTGGAGACTCTTAGGTATTATGTAGGGATCGTGGGATTTCAAAATTGCCTGGAATATGAGAGCATTGAATGCTGTCATTCACCTGTTCACATTTTATGAAACCACTCCGGCTTTGCCGATCAGAAACTGTTGGTGGTGGTCTGAATATCGGCGAATTCCATTCAAGGCTTTTCTCCATTCTAGCTAGCAATCATGTATGAGGAAAGGAAAATGTCGATGAATGAATGACACAATATCTGGTCTATGCCTTCCAGCGCCACTTGAGCGGATGTCACGCGCCAACTAGAAAGCCAAGATCGAGAGTCGGCAATTATACCGGCCTCGGTCTGGCTTCGCTGATGTCACCGAACTCATGACTCCGAACATATCTCAAGAAAACTGGCTTCCGCATGATTACGTGACCCGTGTATTTTTGATCCGTCGCAATTTTCTAACAAAAAACTCTAAGACAAAATTCTACAAAATTCTAAGTCGGTTTTTAAAGAGACAAGTCCTTCGTTTCCGTGAACCAGTCCTTTATGCTTTGCTTCTCCACGGTCTGGAGGAGGTGGTATAGTGGCAAGTAGCGCATTATCACACACGCACGTTCATTGGTTCAATGAATCGATAGACACCTAGGCCAACCAGGCCTTCCATCCCTCCAGGGTCGGATAATTGGTACCAGGTATCTGGGAAGATAAAAACACTGGCTTGTAAATCGGCTGGCCACCGCAAATCATTGTGTAGTTTAATGCTTTTGCCACTACGATTTGAATGGAAGTCCAGTGATGGGGCGCATCACTCAGACGAGATTGAGCAACGCCCGGAATCCATTATCTTCTATCCTCCCTTCGTGAATTCACCTTTCCTTGAACGCCTTCTTAGTTGATAAACCTAGCATATTTGTTCGTGGATCCCCTCTAACGATGAATCGGTAAGGCAACTACCCAACCAAATAAAATTTTACTTCTGTCACACATAATTTGTAGAAATATTTCCGTATAAGTTCCGTCCGGGCCACCGTGGGAACGTCCGGGTAGTGGGCTGCTTCATTGGAGGCAAAGGCAAGAAGAGAAGGAGAGATTCAGGAAGAGGAGGAGAGGAGTCATATGTTGCAACGCCCTCTATAAACTTGCTATTTCACATACTATCTGTCCAATCAATGTTTGGCCACTCCTCCGAATTTCCCAGTGTTGAATTTGGATGTTAGGATGCCGGTTTTTTAAAATTCCTCATTAAACATAAAATTTATTTGCGCATGAGTAACTATGTACTACAACCATTCCTTCACGTGTGAGCATGAAGAAACACCCCTGTGATCAGCCCCTCTATGAGCTGATAAAATATCCCGTTGATCCCAGGGTCCTATAGCTCCGCTACGACCACAAAGATCAAGGGTATAGACACACGCAGGTACCGGTCCCACGAACGAGTTCCGTCTTCCTCGGGTCTCTCACGGTACAGGAC